CTGCTTTATCCTTTCGATATATTTTATCAAAATATAGATCACTTTCTATATGACTTGAATAAAGACAGTAGCAAGAAAATTAAAGATAAGGAGAGTGCGTGTATGTTTTTAAAACATCATGTCCCTGAATTTAAAACAGGAATTGAGATAAATTCAAAAATATGATATTTGACTTGAGGAGTTTAAAAGTTCTGCTTTGCCTACGTGATTTGTAGGATCCTGATCCTAGCTAAAGATTGAGTCAGTTCTTAAAGATTTATAGGCCGTCAGGAAAGAAAGAACATCTAACACTTCCTGCATAACATAGGACTGATGACTTTCCTGAATTAAATCCCATTTGAACTAGAGCATATTTTTAGAAAAACATTCCATCTAGATTTAAAAATGTACAGTTCTGAAGAACCCACTGCAACTCTTGGTAAATTGTGCTACCAGATTAATTGCAGATATGTCCAAATGGTGGTAATATTAGTGTCTCTCTGGTAAAACCATTCTGCCATAGTCACAGGAAAGCCACACTTAAACCACAGAGATAACTCCACTAGACAGAAAAGCATAGGAGACCAATCAGCAAGACAAATAATTTGTCAAGTCAAGGTCCTTGGCAAGCCACAGACAGTTTTATATCAGGCCTGCGATCAACAACCACCAACAAATATTTCAAGAGTACCCTATAAAATACAAATTCAGAAATGGCTACAGCCTTTAAATGACAGCTTTGTTTATGCAGTTTAATGCAAAGCAAAATAAAGAAAGATGGGACCTGAACTAATACAGCAGTAAGTAGCTCAACTCCTATTCAAGTGAGTGAGCACTGAGGATTGTCTATACTTTGCCAAACTGTATTCTACATAAACAAGCACAGGTAGAAGAAAATATATGGATAAAACCCAGAAACTATATTTACTGTAAACAAACATACCCTTTCCCTATACATTATGGCTATGTCTACACTGGCGGCTTCTTGCTCAAGAACATCTTGCGCAAGGGTTCTTCTGCAAGAAGTCTTGCGCAAGAAGTCATCCACTCTGCCATGTACAAGCTGTGCTTTTGCGCAAGAGCGCCCATAGCAGTGTGGACGCTTTCTTGCGTAAGAAAGCTCCGATGGCCATTTTAGACATAGGGCTTTCTTGTGCAAGAAATCCCTGCCGAGCGTCCGCACTGCCCTCTTGTGCAAGAGCTCCTGCGCAAGAGGGCTTACACCTGTTAAAAAAGAGCATAGCTCTTGCGCAAGAAGCCCTCTCTTACCACGCCGTACTGTAAATTTCCTTGCACAAGAGCGGGCAGGCAGCGTGGATGCTCTGTGGATTCTTGTACAAGAACGGCCATACTTGTGTAAGAAGCCGCGAGTGTAGACATAGCCTATGTGTCAGTCATTCTTCTGCTGACAGAATACTGATTTACTTATTTAACATATTTTGAGAGAACGCATGTGAAATAATAAATATGTTTAGTGGATCCTTTCTGACTTACAAAACCACCCCTCTTAAAAACTCAATGGTCAATCCAAATGGAACTAAACCCCCCAAATTTTGCCCTCAAACATATCCATGAACAGCTGATTGTTATTGACTTAGTTTGTGGTTAAGGGAAAGATACATACAAATGGATACTCACACGATATGAGCTAGATCAAGTGGCTTCTCTGGCAGTTCTGGGAATACTGGATGAGGTGGCTCTCTAGTGGGCACACAACCGAGAGATTTACTAATTGCATGGCTCAGCTTCTTTGCAGGCGATTTCTGTTTTTGAAAGAAAGTCAAACAATGAGTAGTTCAACCTCGACAAGGAAAGAGCATAGACATTTAAAAATATCCAGCATTAGAAAATATAGAAAACTAGAGAATTTACCTGGCGTTACTCAAGCCCTTAACTGAAATACGTTTTATTTTTCTTCAATTTAATCATTGCTCTGGGGTGGAGCTGAGGGAGTCAGTATGCAAGCTGCCCTGGCGAGAGAGGACAACCCCTGCCCTCTCTCACCAAAACAGCTTGGGGCCAGGTGAAAAGCATTTGTTCATGGCTGTTACAGCTGCAGCAGGCACAGTGGGAGAAGGGTGCTTGTCCCGCAGCTGGGATAGACAGACACTAGATAGCTGTCCCTTTCTCCACCTCTGCCTCCTGCTGGCCCAATGGGATTATAGCTGTCCCAGTTCCCATCTTGGGCCCCGTATTGCTCCCGGTGGTTATCAGACACTATAAGGCTATGTCTACACTGGCGGGCTGTTACGCCAGAAGTTTGGAAATGAGGCTAAGCGTGGAATATCGCCGTGCCTCATTTGCATACCTAATGAGCCACCATTTTTGCGGAAGAGGCTCTTGCGTTAGAAGGAGCTGTCTACACTGCCCCCTCTTGCGCAATGTCATTATTCCTGAAAATAATCAGTGTAGCGGCATTGCACAAGAGGGTTTTTCTTGCACAAGAAAGGGCAGTGTAGACAGCTCTTTCTAGCACAAGAGCCTCTTCCGCAAAAATGGCGGCTCACTAGGTATGCAAATGAGGCTCGGTGATATTCCATGCTTAGCCTCATTTGCATATCTATGACGTAACAACCCGCCAGTGTAGACATTACCTAACTGTCCCCACTAACAAACCCATCCTTTTACAGGCACACCCACTTGTCCTGGCACAACCAAAACCTTAGTTTGCTTTAAGTTATAAGAGGAAGCTGCATCCCAAATTTGTTGGCCAAGCTCTTACCATCAGGGGCGGCCCTAGACTAGCTGCCAGCAACTGGTGCCCTAGGTGAACGATGCAATCGGTGCCCCCAACTCCAAACCCCTCAATGATATTACGCCACCATTTGGCACCACATTTAACTTGGCGGCCTAGGCAACTGCTCTTGAACAAACAGACTCAGAGACATATGGATGGACAGACAAACACAGGTTCTCTCAAATATATAGTTTATCTTTGTTTAAATACCATTTCTAGCTGATTAGTACAAAGTCACACTTCTAGTACAATCTGATGAGGTTCAACAAGCACAAGTGCAGAGTTCTGTCCTTGGGACAGAAGAATCCCAAGCACTGTTACAGTCTGGGGATGGACTGGCTAAGCAGCAGTTCAACAGAAAAGGACCTGGGGATTACAGTGGGGCTGTGTCTAGACTACACCTCTGTCGACAGAGAGATGTAGATGAGGCACGTCGAAATTGCTAATGAAGCAGGGATTTAAATATCCCGCACTTCATTAGCATTAACATGGCCACTGCTTTATCTGAAATGGAGCTTTTTAAAAAAACAACGGCAATCTAAACACAGATCTGTCGAAAATAAACCCTTTTCCGACAGATTCTGTATTCCTAAAAAAATGAGGGTTTATTTTCGACAGATCCACGTCTAGACTGCCGTTTTTTGGTTTTTTGTTTTTTTTTAAAAAAAGCTCCGTTTAAAAAAAAAGTGGTGGCCATGTTTATGCTAATGAAGCGTGGGATATTTAAATCCCTGCTTCATTAGCAATTTCGACGTGCCTCATCTACATCTCTCTGTCGACAGAGGTGTAGTCTAGACACAGCCCCACTGTAATCCCCAGGTCCTTTTCTGTTGCCTGATGGCGTACTGGGGTGCATTATGAGGTGCATTTCCAGCAGATCTAGAGAAGTGATTATTCCTCTTTATTTGGCACTTGTGAGGCCACATCTGGCATATTGTGTCCAGTTCTGGGCCCCCCACTATACAAAGGATGTGGATGCATTGGAGAGGGTCCAGTGGAGGGCAACCAAAATGTTGAGGGGGCTGGAGCACATGACCTATGAGGAGAGGCTGAAGGATTTGGGCTTGTTTAGTTTGCAGAGGAGAAGAGTGAGGGGGGATTTAATAACAGCCTTCAACTCCCTGAAGGGGGGTTCCAAAGAGGACGGAGAGAGGAGAGGTTGAGGTTGGATGTTAGGAAAAGCTATTTCCCTAGGCAGGTGGGGAAGCACTGGAATGGGTTACCTAGGGAGATGGTGGAATCTCCATCCCTAAAGGTTTTTTAGTGCCGGCTTGACAAAGCCCTGGCTGGGATGATTTATAATCATAGAATCATAGAATACTAGGACTGGAAGGGACCTCGAGAGGTCATCGAGTCCAGTCCCCTGCCCTCATGGCAGGACCAAATACTGTCTAGACCATCTCTGATAGACAGTTATCTAACCTGCTCTTAAATATCTCCAGAGATGGGGATTCCATAACCTCCCTGGGTAATTTATTCCAGTGTTTGACCACCCTGACAGTTAGGAACTTTTTCCTAACGTTCAACCTAAACCTCCCTTGCTGCAGTTTAAGCCCATTGCTTCTTGTTCTATCCTCAGAGGCTAAGATGAACACGTTTTCTCCCTCCTCCTTATGACACCCTTTTTAGTTGGGATTGATCCTGCTTTGGGCAACGGGCTGGACTTGATGACTCCTAAGGTCTCTTCAAGTGCCAGGATTCTATGATTCTAATTCAGATCCAGTACATGGATAAATGGCTGAAGTAATCTCCACATTCCTAATGAGCTGGAATTTTGAAAGATGGTAGATTCATTCATTAGATGGCTAACTTGAGAAATATCCCAAATGTGAACTTAGACCTTTCTATCAGGTTCATACCAAAAAGTCATCAGTCTTTGTCATGGTATTTCAGCTATTCAAGTGACTTTTTGAGATATACTTTTGAAATGCGATACACTACTGCTGAATATAGGACACCTGGTAAAATTACTCTTATACAAGAGAGCTCAACAGCAATATCACACACACATTCAGATGCACATTAAATTGCCTGAGATCCCATTATAAAGAAATGCTGCAAAGTTTTTTTTTATTTACCCTCCTATCTTTGAGGCTTCGGGTTCGCTTGGGGAGGGATGACACAAACTCCTACCCCCACACAGACACGGGGAGAGGTGACAAACATACATTCCTAAATACCTACCTTTCTCTCCTGGGGGCCAGGAGGCAGTGCGACCCAACAACCCAATCGTCCCTGCCTGGTGCTCTCCACCCCCCACGCCTGGCTGGGCCCATGGGATGGACCTGCCTCTCATGGTACCTGGAATTGCACCTTCCCGTGGCAACACCTGGAGGGTACACATGGTCACCCCCCAATTTCTGCCAGGGTTCACACCAGAATGGGGTCAGCAGCAGCCTTTTGGCACTGTGAAGGCAAGGGATGGGAGATGCTTCAAACCACAGGGAGGGAGAAGAAAAGAAAAGGAATAACCTGCTCCATATCTTTGCAGAGCTCTTCTCTCCCCTCCCCTCTGCCCTGATCCCGTTCCTTCCTGCCCACAGTTTTCAAAGGCATTAATGCCTCTAGGCTGTTCTGGCCACCGACATAACCCAGTTACCTCCTGTTCCCTGGTTACAGTGCAGGCAAAAAGGAATTAAGACCTAAGGATGCTTTGAGCATCATGGCCCAAGTAACCTGAGTGCTGGGCTTCAGAGATGTGAAGGGAAACAAGAAGGCTATTTCTACACTACAGCTGTGTCTAGACTGGCAAGTTTTTCCGCAAAATCAGCTGCTTTTGCGGAAAAACTTGCCAGCTGTCTACACTGGCCGCTTGAATTTCCGCAAAAGCACTGACGATCTCATGTAAGAAATCAGTGCTTCTTGCGGAAATACTATGCTGCTCCCGTTTGGGCAAAAGCCCTCTTGCGCAAATGATTTGCACAAGAGGGCCAGTGTAGACTGCACAGTACTGTTTTGCGCAAAAAAGCCCCGATGGCTAAAATGGCGATCGGGGATTTTTTGCGGAAAAACACGTCTAGATTGGCACGGATGCTTTTCCGCAAAAAGTGCGGAAAAGTGTCCGTGCCAATCTAGAGTCTCTTTTCCGCAAATGCTTTTAACAGAAAACTTTTCCGTTAATAGCATTTGCAAAAATCATGCCAGTCTAGATGTAGCCTACATGTTTTGCTGGAAGAGGCAATACAAATGAAACACAGATTAGCATTTTCCCATGCTTCATTTACATAATCTCTTCCAATCTGTTTTTGCGCAAAAACAAGCAGTGTGGACATTTCCTTTTTGCGTAAAATCCCCCTTTTGTGCAAGATCCTTATGCCTCTCCCAGTGACAGATGATGTAGCAAAAGCTGAAGTACTCAAGGCTTTTCTTGCCTTTGTCTTCATAGACAAGTTCAGCTCCCAGACTACTGCACTAGGCAGTGCAGTACGGGGAAGTGTTGGGCAGCCCTCGGTGGAGAAAGAACAGGTTAAGAACTATTAATAAAATTGGACATACACAAATCCATGGGTCCGGATCCAATGCATCCGAGGGTACTGAGGGAGATGGCTGATGTGATTGCAGAGCCATTGGCCATTATCTTTGAAAACCTGTGGAGATTGGGGGAGGTCCCGGACAATTGAAAAAAGGCAAATGTAGTGCCCATCTATTAAAAAGGGAAGAATAATTGTGATTCAGAGGGTTTCTCCTTTTCTGTGTTTCTGGCTTCAAACTATTGAAGGAAGGCAAAAAGATCTTTTCGATAGAGAGTCCATGCATTTGGAAACTGACTGGTAGCTCATTAGGCTTGCGTTGCACTATGATGAATTTTATAGCTAACCTGCTTGCTTGCTTGCCGATATTATATATATATGCTTAAAGATGCATTATTTCCCTGTGGTTTTGATTATATGTTTATTATAATGGGTTGCAGTAGGTTTATATTCAGGTAGTTTGGCGGTAATACAAAGGACTTTCAGGCATCCTGCATGTTAAGCTAAGACAAAGCGAGTAGACTTATTCAACTAGATGCAAGGTCAATGTATATAT